CCCCCCCCCTGTAGTTTTTTTTACATAACTCAAAAAGTATTGGTCTGAGGCTGTTGAAATTTTATGACTTTTCCTACATACCCAAAGCCCTCCCTTTAGGCCTAATACTAACTGCCTGAGTCCTCAGGCACACTGCCTGAAGGACTGCTTTTTCCTGAAACAAACTAAATCTTTGTTTTGACCCAATTCCATCTGTCAGATTTTGATAAAATTTAGCTTTTTTGAAAGCCTATGACATAAGGAAACGAATTGCACAAAATCTGCGAAAAAAATTGCAAATTTTTTGCAAACAACCTGTCAAAGGAAATTTGCACATTTTTAGTTTTTCTTGATTAAAAATCAGGTTTATTAAAATTTTGCAAAAACTTTTGCATATTTGAAATGGCATGGTCAAGGGCTTTTCAAAAATGTTTAATTTTTCATTTTTTGGACAAATTTTTTTTTAAAAACATTTTTACTATATAACTAGATTTTGCGATAAAAAAATTCAATCTTTGCAAATTTGCAATTTTTTTGAAGAACCTAAAAGTAGAGCACAAGAGCTTTCCAATAATGTATCAATTGTCATATTTGGACATCAAACATTGGATTTAGAGGGGGGGGGGGCAAGTGAACCCCCCCCCCAGCATATCCTGGTTTTCAAGTACCCCAGCAGAGATAGGGTTAAATTGAAATAAACATAAAGCATTTTTTAAGTAAAAGTAATTAACAAAGAGTAGGTAATAAATATTTTAATATCAATTAATAATGGGATAAACATGATTGAAAATGTCAAAAAGTAGATTTTCTGAGTAACACTATGAATTTTATTCTGAGTTGAAAACATTAGAATTTTGGATATCAAGAACAATGCTTGATTTCCTCCTTTTATCAATCTCAAGATTAATTTAATCTTCAGTTTGTATCTTGGAAAGCAATCTGAGTGTAGATTGCAGAATTCAAACAGCCGCGTAATCAATGAGAGAACTCTCATTGGTTGCATTCTAGCTAGGAAACCCAAAAGAATGGATTAAACATAAAATCAAAGGTGTCTACAGTGGATTTAGAAATTAGGATTATAGATATCCAATATCAAGAGTTTTCAGCTCTGTGGGCATTTGAAGAAAATTAACTTATGAACCTCAAATACATATTTCCAAAAAAGATTACCTTACACCATGTTAAAGACTGAGGGAAAGATAGGTAGATATATTGCCAGTTTATTCTCTAAACAAATATTTATTCTCAAAACAAATATATTGCCAGTATATTCTCTAAATAAATATATTGGCAGTTTATTCCTTAAAAAAATATAATGCCAGTTTATTCTGTAAACAAATATATTGCCAGTTAATTCCCTAAGCAAATATACTACCAGATTATTCTCTAAACAAATATATTGCCAGTATATTCTCTAAATGAATAAATTGCCATTTTATTCATTAAACAAAAATATTGCCAGTTTATTCTCTAAACAAATATATTGTTATTCTCTAAACAATTAAATATATTGCCAATATATTTTGTAAACAAATATATTGCCAGTTTATTCTCTAAGCTAATATATTGCCAGTATACTCTCCAAATAAATGTATTGCCATTATATACTCTAAACAAATATATTGCCAGATTATTCCCTAAACAAATATATTGCCAGTATATTCTCAAAACAAATATATTGCCAGGATAAAAAATTAAAAACATGTATATCTTAGATTTCATGTCAATATCAAGGTTAACGGCCAAATTTCAATGCAAATTTTCAACAAAAATAGCTACGGTTGAATAAACAAATAAAACAAATATGTTGAGCTTTGACACTGCAAAAACCATGACCTGTTAATGTTTTTGAAAAGAACTAGTGTACTTTAGAATTATTGATAATATTTTGCATTAACGGAATTGCAAGAGTACTTTCAAGTGTCATTTCATTCAAAGAGGGCAATGCCAGAATCACAACGGTATCCTTTAAACCTTTGACTTAATTGCAAGCTCTTTTTATTCAAGGATTATCTATATTTTTTTTAGAAGTGACTTCATACAGTACGCTGGCGTACACTCTAATCTTACACGTTATTTAAGAGAAACTTCGTCCTCGATTATAAGTCAAGCAAAGGTTTAAAGGGTAAAGTTCCTTTGATAATAAACATTATGCAAATATTTTCAAAGAATAAAATTTCAGGCAAACATATCTTTTTTTAAAAAATTCCCCTTTTAAGATTAAGTTGAAACCTTTTTTTTTTTAATGTTTAATCATGTTAATCAAAGCCCTAAAATTAATCTCTGAAAATAACTGTAAATATACCTTGAGATAGGCTCTTTCTTCATCTTCCATCTCCAGGGTCTAATATTTTCATCATTTTATTTAAACGCTCGATATTCAACTTTTAACATTTAAAATTTAAAAAAAACCTTCAATTTTTCAGCATGAGATACAGTAGGATAAAGCAAGGATAAAGGTTTTATAATAAAGTGCTTATCTTACAGTAACATAAGTGCAATTAAATGTATTCTTTATTTTCTGTTTTTACACTTTTTTATTTAATCTTAAAAACCAGTCAACTAATGTGAGAAAATTTTGTTTTCTTGTTATATTTGACACTTATGACGTCGTGTATGATTGGTTCATTTCTCTGTTGCCACCTATTGTACTTGATAATCTATTTGGGATAAAGAATTTAAAGGATTAACCTTGGTAATTTTATAGAAATCCACAGTTAAATTTTACTTCAAATTTAAGTTGAAAAACTAAGATTGAAATTAACCAAATAATCGTTATTTCAACAAAAAGTTACAAAATGTTCGTAATGTCGAACAAAACTTTTCTTATTTCGAACAAAATATCAGTTATTTCTAGCAAAGTGTTCATTATTTCTAACAAAGCGTTTGTTATTTCTGACAAAGTGTTCGTTATTTTTAACGAATTGTTAACAATTTTGAACAAAATATTCGTTAGTTTGAATATAATGTTTTTAATTTCGAAAAAAAATATTAATTATTTCGAACAAAATTCTCGTAATTTAAAACAAAACGATCATTATTTCTAAATATTTTGTTTGCAATACATACTACAAACATCATGTTAAGGTTTATTCTACTAGAGGTTTAGTGAGTGTTGCTAAATGATTGATTCCTCTGACTGATGAGGCATCTGATCAATCCGTTGATTTAAACCATATTTGTCACAGACCTCTTTGACCTAGTTTTAACAGGGAGGGGGTTTATGGCCGCTATGAGCCACACCAAATGGTCTCCAAGCCTCTGGATTCGCAGATAAGCATTTAAAATGACTTGGTGCTTCCCATATACTTTAGAATATATATTATAGAAGAAATGTATATGCAATTATGCCATTTTTTAGAGATATTCAAGAAAATAATGCATAACTATTTTAAGATTAAATATTTTATTTAAAAAATGTATATTATCTATTCTAACGTTTAGGGGTGATTTTAAAAACACATCTGCGAATATGGAGGCCCGGAGACAATTTTGCAGGGGCTCATGGCGGCCCTATACCATCTCCCTCGTCATAATCATAGAAAGTTGGTTATAGGATTAATAAAATAATTAATTGAATACTCACATCAAGCTCTTATTTTCTAATCCTTTTTTAGGAACCTGAAGTCAAAATATTTAAAAATTTGACTTTTCGATCCAGTAGAAGTCATATCATATTGTTTACCACATCAGGTTGCAACAGTTCATGAGGATTAGAAAATTAGAGTTTGAGCAAAATAATCAGTTCCTTTTTTAAAAAATATGAGAAAGTAATAGATAGACGAACTGAAAGGGATTGTAAGCATAATTAAAAGCTTGGTCTGACAAATATGAATTAGATATCAATGTTTTTTATCTGCGAAAGGGAAATTTAATGGAGAAATCATTAGAATAAACACTTTTAAAGTCTGAAAAACGACGACATCTTCCACATTTTTATCAGATTAAGGTTTCAAGGGTACTGTTTTAAATAGATTTAAAATTCAGTGATGGTGATGGACCAAACCTCTGTAGGGATAAAAAATTAAAAACATGTATATCTTAGATTTNTTGTCATTGTCATTGTCATTGTCATTGTCATTGTCATTGTCATTGTCATTGTCATTGTCATTGTCATTGTCATTGTCATTGTCATTGTCATTGTCATTGTCATTGTCATTGTCATTGTCATTGTCATTGTCATTGTCATTGTCATTGTCATTGTCATTGTCATTGTCATTGTCATTGTCATTGTCATTGTCATTGTCATTGTCATTGTCATTGTCATTGTCATTGTCATTGTCATTGTCATTGTCATTGTCATTGTCATTGTCATTGTCATTGTCATTGTCATTGTCATTGTCATTTTCACTGTCATTGTCATTGTCATTGTCATTTTCATTGTCATTGTCATTGTCATTTTCATTGTCATTGTCATTGTCATTGTCATTGTGTTTGTCATTGTCATTGTCATTGTCATTGTCATTGTCATTGTCATTGTCATTGTCACTGTCACTGTCATTTTCATTGTCAATGTCATTGGCATTGTCATTGTGTTTGTCATTGGCATTGGCATTGGCATTGACAAAGACATTGTTGATTTCATTGGCATTGGCTTTGTCATTGTTGTTTTCATGATTACCTAATTGCTCAGGTCCAAATTCCGTGTCATTACTAAAACAAAATTTAATTTAGATTTTTAACTTAATTATTTCTGAGTTAGTTTTCAATTCAATATATTAAATGTATGATAAATTAATAATTGAATCTTTTTTAGTATTCATTTTTGAAATGTGTTCAAACCTGTTTATAAAGAGAAGATAGAAAACGATTACTAGAAGAGCTGAGATATACTTCTTGTCAGTAAACGGATTTTTTCTTCCCATCATTTTCCTCTCTCCCTACACCCTTAATATAGGATTAATAGGTGTTGTAGGATTTATAGGATCTGAAGGATTAATAGGATCTGCAGAATAAATAGGATCTGCAGGATTAATAGGATCTGCAGAATAAATAGGATTAATAGGATCTGCAGAATAAATAGAATCTGCAGGATTAATATGATCTGAAGGATCTTCAGGATTAATTGAATCTGTAGTTTCAATAGTATCTGCAGGATCAATAGGATCTGTAGGATCAAAAAGATCTGTAGGATCAATAAAAATATAAGATAAATAGGTCTGAAAGGATCAATAGGAGCTTTAGGATCAAAAGGATCCGTAGGATCAATAGAATATTAAGGGTCAATACTATCTGTAGGGTCAATAGGAACTGAAGGATATATTGGATGTGTAGGATCATCAAGAACCGTTAGATCAATGGGATCTGCAGAATCAATAGGATCTGATAGAATCAATAGGATCTGTAGGATCAATAGGATCTATAGGACCAATAGGATCTGTAGGATCAATAGGATCTGTAGGATCAATAGTATCCGTGGGATCAAAAGGATCTGTAGGATCAATTATAACTATAAGATAAATAGGTCTGAAAGGATCAATAGGAGCTGTAGAATTAATAGGATCTGTAGGATCAATGAGATCTGCAGGATCAATAGGATCTGAAAGGATCAATGAGATTTGCATGATCAATCTAACTTGTAAGATCAATCGTACTTGTAGGATCAATCGTACTTGTAGGATCAATCGTACTTGTAGGATCAATCGTACTTGTAGGATCAATCGTACTTATAGGATGTAAAGGATCGGTTACCTTATTATAATATAAAGTGTATCATGACGACATGACAAAAGATTCTGAAATCTGAAATTATCATGATTAATTCTTAACAACAAATACTTCCGCGTTACATTTAAATTAATATAACGCTTAACTCATGAAAAACATCAATTATGATATTGTAAACTGCAGAAAAATAGCTGTTTTTTAGCAGCAAATAATGAAAATCTCACAATAAATTAATCTTTTATTGAGGAAAGTTTGCAAAATCTAATTCAACTTAAAGGAACTGAAAACGTAATTTCAAGTGAACGTCCTTTGAGTAAGTGCCATGTGGGATTCACAACGGTATCCTTCAAAGCATTGTCTGGTCAAGAAAAGATTTGATAACCATGTTGTTTTTTAACAGATTACTTTTATTTGCTGTTTCTCTACAAAAGTAACTTGCGAGTTGCGCATTACGTCCGAAATAATAGAGAAATTATCAGAATTTTCAATCTTCCATAATTCCATCAGATTAAGTTTTCAATTGTACTGTCGTGAATCGGTCGTGCTCCTCTTTCATTAAAGGGTCACTTGAAATTACGTATACAGTCCCTTTAATTTCATTTTAACAGATGAAATTAATTTTAACAAATGAAATTAACCGGATCAGTATTTCAAAACCACATTACGTTAGAGCTTTTAGAAGAAGGAATTTAGGCATATAAAAGAAATAATCATTTGAATTTTTATTTATTTATTATTAGCATTTTCGTTCAATCTTTTTTGACAGTTTTTTCTCTTTCCGGTAGTCTTGTTAATAAGTTATGGTTGTTTGCTTAGTTCACTATATACATATATGATGGTTATATGGATACTGGATATACCTGCAGAGTACACTATACTAGGTCAATTCAGGCAGTTGGCGATAAAGAATCTACATTTTTTTCAAATTATATGCATACAATGCATTTATTTATGAAATTAGATAGATAGATATGACATCTATGCATTTAAAATCACTCTTTCTAATAAATGCATTTCTAATTCAGGTTCTGATTTTTTTTATTCTGAGTAAATGTGATAAAGATATCATTTTTTTAATCTGAAAATAGTTAGTATTTCTTTTGCGGATTTATAAAACAGAAACAAGGGAGAAAATCAAATTTTTTTTCTTTTCAATTTTTAAAAATTTTTATCTATTACGTATGGTTCAGAAATCCTTTGTTTAGTTCGATATTTAATAAACATTTTAGGAATTTGATCCGAAGCTTACACATTCTTAGGAAACAATAGATAATATTTTTTCCAATTTCTTGTTTAGACTAAAATCAAGAACTTTATAGTTTAAAAATGTGATTAATGCAACTTTTCATTGCAGTCTCTATTTCTCTACGAGTTTCTAACAGTGCAAAACTCACAATTAAAAAATATCTTTAAAACAGATTCATATCTCATACTTTTATTAAATTAACATATTTTACTTCAAGCAATACTTTTTTCTAAATACATTTTTTGTACAAAAGGTTGCTCGACCCAGCGATTAAACAGGTTTATTAGGACCAGGTCGACAATACTCGCCAGTGCTATTGGAACAGATCTAAACAAAATAATTATATATATAACCATTATATTTTTATATATATAAACATTATATTTTTTTTTAAAATGCTTAAAGGGACTGTAAGCGTAAAATTTGAATTGTGACTTCACATCATTCAAAGATGGAAATGGTTCAACGCTACCATTAAAAGCTTTGTCTGATGAAGTTCCAATTAGTTATGAATGTTTATGATTTTAAAAACTGACAACTTTTTGATAGTGGTTTCTCTAAAAAAGGACTTGCGCATTTCTACTGCAGGAAAACGTATAGGAGTTATCAGAAGTGAACACTGCTATCTTTGTGTGGCAACCATTTGAGGAATTGAGTGTTTGCCAAAAAAACAAAAAAAATTCTAATCCCTGTATCTTTGCAGCCTGATGGTGTAAACCTTTGATACTTCAAGCATAGACCATTTGGACTAACAGAATTCCTATTTTGAAATACTTTTGGTCTACTTCATCAGATTGCAAAGATATAGGGTCTAGAAAATAAATTTTGTGGATCTAAATAATTTACACTATATTTTAAAACAACTATTGAGAAACTAGAGTAAAACATTAAAAGGTGAAATAAAAAACCCTTAATCTATCATACAGGGGAAACCATAACAATGTGGAACAGGAAAACGACATTCCAGCAATCTTTTGTGCATTTGATATTGTTATAAAGCAAATCCTAGTATACGATTTTTGGACCATCCCCCCCTCGCCCCCCCCCTCCTATCAATTTTGTACATGACCACTTATTTTTCAGCAAGTTTATTATTATTTGTTTTGTTATTATTTATGGTTAGGTTAGGTTAAGACACATTCTGGACCGAGCGCTGCGGCCACGGGCTAGGTTAAGTCAAGACACTTTCTGGGCCGAGCGCTGCAGCTAGGACCGGCTAGGGGGCCGAGCGCTGCGGCCACATGTCTCACATTTAAGATCCATGTACAAATAGTTTTACCATTAATTATTCAGTAAAATGGGTTTTGTAAGTATCGCACAATTGCTGTGTTTAATGTTCAATAAACCATTTAAAATCATAACTTGAGTCTAACATTTACATTCCATAATTTTATAGGTTCAACTGTATCCGATACAGATTAAACATTCATATTTATATATAAAGCTAGTAGAAATCTCTGTTTGGGTGTCTGTTTGTCCGATCATAACTTGGGAACCCCCTGGACCGATTTGCCTCAAATTTTGATTGGGGAACTCGGGAGGCCCACGGGAATATTTTTAGTTTGGTTTTAAGATTTTAAATTAAGCACTTTAATAGCGAATTTTTTTTACACATTTAAAAAACTGACCTGTAATGAAGAGCAGCACCAAACCCAGTAAACCTACCAAGAGTATAGGTTGGAGACCCACAGTACTTATAGATACCAACCTTAGTATTGTTATTATTATTATTATTATTATTATTATCATTATTTTTATTATAATCAGAAACATTTGTTTACCTCGCTAAAGTATGCATTTGGTATCTCTGTAATCATATCATACCAGTAGTAGGTATTGTAACCTAAATATACAAGACACGTTTAATCAAAGTAAATTTCACGTAGGATTTCAATCGATACTTCTTTTGATAAAGCGCTATTGAGAGGAACAAAAATGTTTTGATTTTCTAATATAAAAACGGACGAATTTTCTCAAACTTTACATAAAATCACAACTAGAGGAGCTACGAGATCACAAAGTCTTCCCAGCAATGTTGAAAAATAATTTGCCTTCTCCTACTGTTTAATTGAAAGTAAAGAGAGCAATCTATTTTTGAACAGATATTTTAAAATCTTATTTTATCTCATCTTGATTTATACCTGTTCCATAAATAGCTGACATTTTAAATCCTACCCCCGCCACTACCATAAGCAATCCTAACCCGGTTGTCCATTTTTCATCAATTCCCTGAATTATTAGAACACGTTGGGTTGAAGCAAACTTCATAGGGACAGCAATTGTAATTTAAAGTAACACTCTATACAAAGATGGCAGTGTTCGATTCACGATAATACTTTTTAAAAGGTTTCTCTGGTCAAGCGAAGACTTTGCTAATTAAAGATAATGTATCAGAAAATCTACGCAATATACATGGAGCATCTTTCTGGTCAAGTATTAATTAAATATCATTATTTACAATTTTAAAAAATTGAGGAAATAATACAGAAATTAAAAACTTTTTAACCTGGAATAACTTATTGATACGATAAATTAATGATACGATAAATTAATGATCTGATAACTTATTGATCAGATAAATTATTGATCTGATAAATTATTGATTTGATAAATTATTGATCAGATAAATTATTGATCAGATAAATTATTGATCAGATAAATTATTGATCTGATAAATTATTGATCTGATAAATTATTGATCTAATAAATTATTGATCTGATAACTTATTAATCTGATAAATTATTAATCTGATAAATTATTAATCTGATAAATTATTGATCAGATAAATTATTGATCTGATAAATTATTGATCTGATAAATTATTGATCTGATAAATTATTGATCTGATAAATTATTGATCTAATAAACTAATGATCTGATAAATTATTGATCTTATAAATTAATGATCTGATAACTTATTGATCTGATAAATTAATGATCTGATGAATTAATGATCTGATAACTTATTGATCTGATAAATTAATGATCTGATAAATTATTGATCTAATAAATTATTGATCTGATAAATTATTGATCTGATAAAGGTTTCTAAAGTAACTTTGAAGATCGTGCATTGCTTGTTTTGCATGGATTAAAATTAAAGTTACATATTCCTTTAAATATTTATTTTTTAGTTTACTCAAATCTAAAATCTAAGCAATCCACGGTTTTAATTCAGGAGTATATATTTATTTAAAAGATCAAAGATATATTGGTATACAGATTCATTTCACATTTCTAAGAATTTTCTAAAAAAAAAAAAAAAAAATGTTGTCACCTTGAAATCTTCAGAGAACAGTGGCGGAGTAATTGTTAACACCCAGAATCCTGAAAAAAAGGATTTAAAATAAATTCTTTAACCATCAACCAACTGTCGGATTAACACAGCTCACTAAATACTCGCAATTTGGCAATCAAAAGAAACAAATGCCACGGTCTTTGCTTTATCCTTCAAATCATTTTAAAAGTATTGAAGTATTTCAAGCTCATCACATTCAAATAAATTAAAAATTAAAATTATTATTTTATTATATTTCGAGATTTTTTGTTACCATGTTACCATGTTTATACCAATTACCATATTACCATGTTACCATATTACCAATTAACATATTACCATGTTATCATGTTACCATGCTATCATTTTACCATGCTACCATGTTACCACGCTACCATGTTACCATGATACCATGTCACCATGTCACCAAGTAGTTTCATATTACCATGTTTCCATGCTTCAATGCATCATATTACCATATTACCAGGTTACCACCATGCTACCATGTATCATATTAGCATGTCGCCATGCTACCATGTTACCAGGTTACCAAGTGACCATGATACCAGGTTACCAAGTTACCATGTTACCAGGTTACCATGTTACCATCTTACCAGGTGACCAGGTTACTAGGTTACCATTTTACCATGTTACCAGGTTACCATGTTACCATGTTACCTATAGTTTGTGTTTGCCAGGCTACTGAGATAAATAACTCCCAAACTTTTAACGTCGTCTCAATTCCATAATTTCTAATCAAAAATAGTTATTATTCTTAATTGATTTTAAAGAGGATTAGTTAAGAAAAAATTAAAGAGAAATTTTTCAAGCAATTAATAATGATGTTCATCTAGATGTTTTTAATTAGAGCTATGACTGAATTTGTGAACTTTCTTTGCCTGGAAACAATTTTAATTGTAAACAAAATCAAATTTCGGTTTTCAGAAAGTCTACATTTTTGTCTTTTCAGGGTTTTTTGTTTGAGGTAAGACTATAAACAAAAACAAAAACAAAAAGAAACGACAGTAAAAACGATTTTAAGAGTATCAAAGATTACATCTTTTATGAGATTAAAATTGATTAAAATCTTGATTTTTTGTCTTAAAATTCGGAATACCTCCGTCAATTGTAAAGTTACAAAAATTGAAGATCACATTTTGGTAATTCCGCTATTTCAAGTTCAATTGGAAATGGTTTTAACCGAAATACTAATAATATTGTGTTCATGAAATGTAGGACGATAAAAATACTCGTCAACTGAAATACATAGTGGTAAAATAGCATGTTTACTGGCACACTCTGTTGCCTATCTACCTTCGGAGTGCTGGTGCAATACACTCGAAGAATGCAGTGATCCCCAGAATATAGTAGAACAGTCCGAAGATACAAATAGGTATAGCAGAAGACAACGGTATTCGGGGTATAGGGGAATATCCAAGAAATTTGGGTCCAAATGTATCCAGTAACTAGCAAACAAAAAATATGTTAAATATATTTAAACAATAAATTAATTTTCGTGTTGGACTTGGATATAAAATCCAGACTAAAAGTCTTAAATTGGGAATCAATCCATTTTCAACTCTGAAATATTTTTTCGGCTAATTGTTTTTTTTAACCACCGACACTTTAGAATCATCATTAACACCGACACTTTAGAGACCATCATGAACACAGACACTTTAGAGACCATCATTAACACCGACACTTTAGAGACCATCATGAACACAGACACTTTAGAGACCATCATGAACATCGACACTTTAGAGACCATCATGAACACCGACACTTTAGAGAACATCATGAACACCGACACTTTAGAGAACATCATGAACACCGCACTTTAGAGACCTTCATTAACACAGACACCTTTGAAAACATCATTAATACCGACACTTTAGAGACCATCATGAACACAGCACTTTAGAGACCATCATGAATACCGACACTTTAAATACCATCATGAACACAGACACTTTAGAGACCATCATGAACACCGGCACTTTAGAGACCATCATGAACACAGACACTTTAGAGACCATCATGAACACCGGCACCGGCAAAAAAAAGTTACAATAAATCCTGTAAATTATTTTAGTCAAGAAAGTTCAAGGGGATTTTTTTGGTGCACTTTTAGAGAATAAACGCAATGATTTGCTTGGGGCGGGGGGAGGATTATACTTCTCAAAGTTAAAAAAAAGTATCTTTAATACCTGAGGGGCCCAAGATAGCCCTGTTATAAACAGCATACAGAAGTAGTGCTTCCAGTGATGCCTAAACACTTGTAGGTAACTACCGGAACTTCCTGAACTACCTGAACTACCTGAACTTCCTGAACTACCTGAACTACCTACACTTCCTAAACTACCTGAACTATCTGAACTACCTGAACTACCTGAACTACCTAAACTACCTGAACTACCTGAACTACCTGAACTACCTGAACTACCTAAACTACCTGAACTACCTGAACTACCTGAACTATCTGAACTACCTGAACTACCTAAACTACCTGAACTACCTGAACTACCTGAACTTCCTAAACTACCTGAACTACCTGAACTACCTGAACTACCTGAACTACCTGAACTACCTGAGATATTGAGGTTGGAAGAGTCTATCTGAACGAACTGAGAATATGATCAGACTTATCATCTAAATATTTAATCACTTGATTAACAAAACTTTAAATTAGAACAACAACAAAAAACAATTTTAAAAACACATTTTTTAGTTAGGTTTATATTAATCGAAGAAATAATGTTGTCTGTACCTGTATAATTGTCTGAAAATACCATTTAAATTTGGAAATTTTAGACATTGACGGTAAGTGGACATCTTCCATAATACATATTGGCCTGTAACATAAGCATAATGATTAGAAGTACGATCTTCATAATATATATTGGCCTGTACATCAACATAATAATTAGAAGTACAATCTTCCATAATATATTGGCCTGTAACATCAACATAATGATTAGAAGTACAATCTTCATAATATATATTAACCTGTACATAAACATAATGATTAGAAGTACAATCTTCCATAATATATATTAACCTGTACATAAACATAATAATTAGATGTACAATCTTCCATAGTACATATTGACCTGTACATAAACATAATGATTAGATATACAATCTTCATAATATATGTTAACCTGTACATAAGCATAATAATTAGATGTACAATCTTCCATAATACATATTGGCCTGTACATAAACATAATGATTAGACGTACAATCTTCATAATACATATTGGCCATTTGGACATAAACATAATAATTAGTCGTACAAGCCTTCATATTATATATAAATATTGTTTTGTACATCAGCATAATAACTATTCGTTCAGTCTTCATATTATATATAAATATTGTTTTGTACATAGACATAATAATTAGTCGTCTTCATAATATATACAGGGTGTCCCAAAAAAACTATGCATTAGGGGTATTAGTTACTGAGGAAACAATTTTCGTTTATTTTAAAATTCGGTGATGGTGATGGACCAAACCTCTGTAGAGTAAAAAAAATAGATGTTAGTTCCATATTTTTACAATCAAAATGTCATCAAAAAGTCTGTATTTCATTTATTTCATGACGTAAATTTGTTTTCTTTCTAGACCGTATAACTTTTAAATTACAACCAAATCTTTGAGCGTAAGTAAAAAATCGATTTTTCGGATTTTTCCAATTTTCGATTTTTCACGTCTCATTTTCATTGGTTCAAAAAGTATTAAAAAGTTAAATCATTGAATCATAAGCTGTTAGTCTAAGGTATATTTTTTTTATAAGTTTCGGATCATTCATTATTACTTTTGGAGCTATAGAGCAATCAAAAAACAAAATTATTATTGAAAAAAACGAAAAGAAAGCTATGGGCACCTCCGTACGAACCTTGCCTAGACCACGATTTTTTTAGTTTGCTTTTTGTTATGAGTATGGTCCAATCAACAGCTCACTTTTTCAACTAAATTGTTTTATCTAACCCACCTGGGCACAAAAATAAATCATTTTTTATTGTAAAAATTGAACAAAAATTGTTTCCTCAGTAATTAATACCACTACAATTTTTTGGGACACCCTGTATATATATATATATTGGCCTGTACTTAAACATATAATTAGTCATACAGTCTTCATAATATACTTGCTTAGGAACCCAGCGCTGTCCAGGTTCCTAAAAGTTTCTCCCGCCGTTTACCCGCACTTGAACGATTTTACCGGGAAACTAAATTTTTGCTATTAAAGTGGACCCACTCAACATAGATTCTCAAAACCAAGCTAAGAACATTCCCGTGGGTTTCCCGAGATCCCCAATCAAAATTTTAGGCACATTGATCCAGGGTATTCCTGAGTTTTGATAAGACAAACAGAGATTACAACTTTATAGATATAGATATTGGTCTGTACTTAAACATAATAATTAGTTATACAGTCCTTCTAGTAGATATTGCAGCCTGTACTTAAACATAATAATTAGTTATACAGTCCTTCTAGTTATTGCAGCCTGTACTTAAACATAATAATTATTTATACAGTCCTTCTAGTTATTGCAGCCTGTACTTAAACATAATAATTAGTTATACAGTCCTTCTAGTAGATATTGCAGCCTGTACTTAAACATAATAATTATTTATACAGTCTTCATAATATATATTGGTCTGTACTTAAACATAATAATTAGTTATACAGTCCTTCAAATATATATTGCAGCCTGTACTTAAACATAATAATTAGTTATACAGTCCTTCTAATATATATTGCAGCCTGTACTTAAACATAATAATTAGTTATACAGTCCTTCTAATATATATTGCAGCCTGTTTACAGATAAATAAATGAAAACCTGGTCCATTAGTTTACTTTCCCCTCAGTCATGATCACGTATTTTGTGATAATTATATTGTCAATAAATGTTAGGTCTTCATAAACTAAAAATCTGATTTGTACATAAAAGTCATATTAAGTTGTTATTTAGTTGTTATGTTCGCTATTCCTAGACCTGGGCAAACGGATGGGCCAAATTGGCTGACATTTTTTTTAGGGAATCCGGTCACGTGGGTACCCCGGGGTTGACATAGGCTAAAACAAATTCGGGACTACTACAGCTAAAATCGTAATTTAATGCCAAGCGCGGGTAAACGGCAAGAGTAACTATGACTTTGAATAATAATGTAAATCTGGGCAATGCCGAGTTCTCTAGTTAAATTTATATATTATCCTCTAATACTAGAATTATTGCTGAAATTACGAAATGTTAAAAACTTTCTTATCTTTTAGCAAACAATTACGAGTCATACAATACTTGTCAACTATTTTTTAATTGAATGTTTAAATGGATTTTCAATGTAATTCTAAAAAGTGTCAACAGCGATTTTTTTAGTTCACCATCATTAATTTTCAGATAAAGGTTTTCGACTTCTATAGATAAACTTTTGCCTAATAATATATTTACTGTCCCCTCTATTGTACTTCCATATCTAAACTTGTGCCTAATAATATATTTACTGTTCCCTCTATTGTACTTCTATAGATAAACTTGTGCCTAATAATATATTTACTGTTCCCTCTATTGTACTTCTATAGATAAACTTGTGCCTAATAATACATTTACTGTCCCCTCTGTTGTACTTCTATAGCTAAACTTGTGCCTAATAATATGTTTACTTTTCCCTCTATTGTACTTCTTTAGCTAAACTTGTGCCTAATAATATATTTACTGTCCCCTCTGTTGTACTTCTATATCTAAACTTGTGCCTAATAATATATTTACTGTTCCCTCTATTGTACTTCTATAGCTAAACTTGTGCCTAATAATATATTTACTGTCCCCTCTATTGTACTTGTCCCCTCTATTGTACTTCAATACATAATCCTGTACCTAATATATCTATGACTGCACATGGTGTATTTACTGTCCTATCTACTGCACAATGAGTTAAAAAAGTGTGGAATAGGAAGACGGCTGTTAGACTCAACTTATGATTTTGAATAGTTTAATGAACATAAAGCACCATCCATGCTTCACTAAAATTAGAAACTGGTGTTTTATAACAACATCATGAACGCATATAATAAAGTAGTAATCTCTTTTTTCTTTGTTTGTATGTCCGATAATAACGCGTAACCCCCTTTGACCGATTTGCCTCAAATTTTTATTGGGGAACTTGGTAGACCCGCGGGAATGTATTACGCTTACTTTAAAAATTTTATATTGAGTTGAATAACTTTAATAGAGAAATTTTAGTTTGGAGTCAAAGCTTGGCCGTCCCCAAGCTTTAGTATACACAAAAGATTTCCTAAATGTCGTCTTCATATTCCTCAGTTCTGCATACCTTATATATTTACTATTTGCAACTTGATTATAATAAGAACCCTGATATCCTACTCTCTCCATTTTATCCGTCTTAGAATCCTCTTCTTCACCTAAACACAGTTTGTTTTAGTCGGACATGGAAACTTTTAAATGCATGGTATAAGTTGTTCTTATTGTTATTTGTTTTGAGATTTTTAGACAATGAAGGATAATGAGCCAAACTCCGTATTAAAAAGCTGTAGTTCATGCAAAGGAGTTACGCTGCAGGAAGAGCAACTTCATCCTTCAAAAGTTTTTTCTTTTTGCTTCGGTTTTATTATTTTTGGATAATTTTCAATTGATTTGTTTTTAATATAAGATTTGGGCGCTATCAAAAATGTAATAAAAGAAGTTTTATTTAAATATTTATACTTTTAAATAGTTAATACCGAAACTTACAAATATGTCAAATTGGAAGTTTGCTAGTTTAGAAACTCCCACATAAACCGCGTTAAATATATTAAATTTCTCAATTCCATATTTTTTATTTTAACTTGGTTAAGTTTTCCTTATTTAATTCAAGATGCCAAACATGTTGAACAATTATATCTATACTATCGAACATAAATCTGTAATATTTGTGTGCAATATATTGAACATAAATCTATAATAATTGTTTAATATATCGAAACTTGTTCAATATATCAAACATTGAAGAGAAGGATTGCATCAGATATTTTACCTAGCAATAACTCCGTATCTCCTGGTGTCTCTGTACTGTCCAGCTGTGAAATATGATCTGACATTATTCTATAATTTGTTTATAGTTTATATAAAGGTTGAGTAGAGCTGAGTTAAACCAATAAACTGTTCTTATCTCTCTCCTACACTTTCCATGTGTGAGTAGTTTTAAAGGAACAGTTTACAAATCAGATTTCTTACAAAAAAAATCATATCCTTAAAATTTATAGGTATGGATTAATGAAAAGAATAAAGAAAGCATTTAAATAATGATTGTATTTGGTGAGCTTGAGTTCTATTTTAATCAAATTTAGCTTACTTTCTCATTATTGGAGAATTCTACTCACACCGCGCCATGCTTTGAGGTTTACACAGTCCAACTATACTTTATCTTTTTATATATATATTTTTATTCTACTGGGTGTCCTACGAAATATGATAGTCGAAAGGTCGCTTGAAGGTCGTCTTTGATTTTTCAAATTATTTGCAGAATTTTTAATTCCTGAACTTTATTTTCAAAACTATGTTAGAAATCGTTCATGCTACACGACAATTTTGGTTTTAATAAATTTTAGCGAAATTCTTTGTTACTCCGATTCCTCCAGCAAAAGACAGTCTAATCCATGACGACATATCTTGAAGTCTAATCCATGACGATATATCTTGAAGTCTAATCCATGACGATATATCTTGAAGTCTAATCCATGACGATATATCTTGAAGTCTAATCCATGAGAATATATCTTGAAGTCTAATCCATGACGATTTCTTGAAGTATAATCCATGACGACATATATTGATGTCTAATCCATGACGATATATCTTGAAGTCTAATCCATGACGATATATCTTGAAGTCTCTCAAATGGTATGTTTCTTAGAACACCCAGTATTAGAACAAAGGTGAAGGGGTAGCTAGGGGTAGTTGGTGAAGTTGCTTTCTCTTTTAAAACCATATTAAACTAGGGATATTACAGATTGTGTATTATATTCAGTAAAACCCACTTTTTCTTCGGTCAGTGATTGAAGATCACTGAATTAAGTACGCACTGAAAGCATATTTTAAGATGTTACGGAAATTATGGATTCTTTTTTCTTACAGTCTTCCTGCAGCTTAATTATGGTTTCCACAGAAATGGAGAAAGCGAACATTTTTTCACGTATTTTCGCATTCCTTATGTGACAAAGAAAAATTGCGGAAAATTGCACAAACATCCAAACTTTTTAGAAAACTTCGAATTTATTGTTTCGCAAAAATTTTCGCAATTTTTCTTTAAATTAACGCATATTTTGTTTTATTTTTTTCACAAAATTCCGCATCGTTTTCCCTACTTTTCGCAAAACTAATTTTATGCGAAATTTCTCGAAAAAGTTTACAAAATACGAAAGAAAATTTTTGCGAAAGTTTTGGTTTGTTGGAAACCCTATGTCGCAACAATTTGAGGTGTTTATAGGTAACCATGTAAACTTATGGTCAAATGATAAATACAAATACCCAAAAAAAATCAGCATTTAGGATGGGTCTACAATGAAATTGTAAATTTTAGATCTGTACCTCAAAATATAAAAAAGCATTACTAGATTTTCTAGATTTGTTTAAAGCACTGACAAACTTTTAGACCGACCTGTACCTAGCTTATGTATTTTAAAGATGAATTTAAAAAAATTCAAAATTAAAGTGCAAAGGATATTACTAAGGATCATCCAATACTTAGCTTCTAACGCGTGATGGAGAAGTATTAAGTTTAAGATAATAAACTTTACATAATATCATTCCATATATTTATTCAACATCTCAAACATCAACTAGTTTAGTTACAGTGGAAATCTAAGAAATGTCAAATTCTGAATTTCTCAAAGTTTTGTTTTCCTCAATACTCAAAACGAATTTAAGCACAAAATATAGTTTAAAAACTTGTACAAAATTTGGTCTGCCATTTTCGAACCTTTAAACATTTCAGATAAATCAATATAAACTGGCACAATTTTCTAACCTAATCTGGGCGGGTGTTTTTTAGCTTTATGAATAGTTCATCGATTTTCCTTGCTTCTTTGAATCTCCAAACTTATATTTTAGTATTTTTTCTTTTAAATTTTCCATCGTTAAACGAAGGTTCGTCCGAACACATTTAACATAAAATTTTAGCATGCCCTTTTCCTGAATTTAGTCTCGCTATATTGGATTAGGTTAAATTTTTTGTCTTCTTGATTGGCAATAATTGAAATTTTATGATCAGGATTCATAGCCAATTGAATTAAGATGCAAATGCATTAAATGATAGAGCTTATTACAAAAGAAGTAATCATAAATAATTAATCTTTTTTTAATCCTTTTTTCCCGACAAATTAACCCTCAACAGACGGTTTTTTGCATAGCAGTCATTTATTAAAAGTTCTAAGTTAAAAGCCTATGTAGTCTAGAAGGAGATTTACTAAACTGCAGTCAGCTGCATTTAGGGCTGGGCTAAGTTCCGTTAACGAAACGAAGGTTTTTGAAAATTAAGGAAAGAGTCCGTTAACGAACGGTAAAAACCGTTAATTTTCAAATTGTTAACAAAACGGATAAGGCGTTTTTGAAAATAAAAAGCTAACACCGGTAAATGTCGTTATTTTCTGATTGAAACTGCATGAAACTGCAAAAAAAATTACAAGTTTTAAAATGTCGTCTTCTGTAATTAATTCTGTAATATAACATTTACGGTTGTGCAGTTTTTTAATCGTTACCAAAAACCGTTAACGCCGTTTATTTTGTAATAACGAAACCATTAATGGCTAGAGCCGTTAACGATTGTTAAAATTTTCCATTAACGCCATTAATAAAATCGGATATTTAACTAACAGTAATTTTTAAAAAACTGAAAATGCCGTTAACGGAACGAACGTTCCGTTCTTACCTTTAAAACTAATGGCTAACTGAAATTTTAATTTTTTAACATTTGAATTAACTGTTAACGAAACGACTAGAAAAAGGTTGAACGTGCCCAGCCCAAGCTGCATGTATGTACTATGTAGATAGCGTACAGCTGTATATTTTGAGTAGTTCATATCATGTAGTGTAAATCTTAAACGCTTCATTTCGATATTCTATGCGAGTTTTTAAATTAAAAATTAATTTAGAACTAATTTTAAATATTTTTAAAATCAGGACTATAAAAAAATATTTTAGTTCACGGAAAAATATGCCTTAAGATTTAACTAAATACAATATTTAAAAACGGGTCTCAAAACAATGTCAATCATTAACAAGATGAAAATTAACGCTTGATCAAGATTCACAACAGACTTTAGGTTAAATCTATATCTTAATAAAAAATCTTACTCGGTGACAAGAGTACATCTAAACCTCTGTTCCTTTTTCTCTTCATAGTGTAGATTGTTCTTAATAAAGAAGCTGACCGTCTCCTTGTTACTGGCATCCCTACCAACAAAGTTTAATCAAAGAGGTTAAAGAGTATAGAGCGAGAATATCCTAATGTGCGCCAATCTTAATAAAAGTAAATTTTCTATATGTAGCTCGCATTAATTTTTACAAAAATAAAATTGGGAAAATTTGATCGTTAAAAAACACTGACCAGCCATGTCACAATCTTGTGAAAGTTTGACCTGCATATTCAGTATTCACGATTTGAAATTGTAAAATTGAAAATTGAAAATTAGACCAAAAAAGATGTTACAAGAATCTTTACCGATTAAAAAACTAGCAAACGAAATTTGCACGAAAAATACGAAAATTTCTTTTCGCATGCAAAAATAATTTTGCGAAAAGAATTTCGCGAGAAAAAAGGGAGACAATTTTGCGAAAAATTTCTTTTCGCCAAACAAAGAAAGCGAAATTGTTTTTCTTCGAACAGATTTTAAAAAAAGCTAGAGTCTAGGCAAAAAAATAATTTCATGAAACGATTTCCCCATTTCGCTAGATATCCTAGAAAAATTTTAAAAAGATTCGTTAAATTAAATATTTAACAATATTTGCACAGAGCTCTGTTAAAAACTGTAAAGCTGAGAATCAAACTTATTGGTCGTTGCAATCTTATTTAAGTAATTACCTATGACCCAACATGAGTTCTCCGTTCGGGCAGTCCAGTTTCTTAAGTTTAAGGTTTCTATTTATGTATGGGAACTCAATAGGGTCATGTCCTTTATCATCAGGCTTCTTTATCACCATACAAGAGGCACCCTTAAAAATAAACCATATACAAACGTTAAAAAACAGATTTCACACGCTTTGCTAGGAAACTTCAAATTCAATAAGCTAATCCCAAGTGTTTGCCCCTCCCCACACGTCAGATGAACTGATTCTTAAACTCAAAATAAATTGCAAAAATGCTGCCACTTTATACCAAATTCTTAAAATGCAATTCGACCCCGTAAAAATTTCCTAAAAAAATTAAGATTTAATTGATCTACAAAATAAATTTGCAAATTTGCAAAAATTGAATTTTTATCGCAAAATCCAGTTATATAGTAAAAATGAAATGTAAAATGAATGAAAAGTAAAAATTGCCAAAAAATAAATTAAACATTTTTGAAAAACCCTTGACCATGCCATTTCGAATATGCAAAAATTTTTGCAAAATTTTAAATAACCTGATTTTTAATCAAGAAAAANAACTGAATAATATCTGATCTTGGAAGAAACTTTTCTTACCAATTATTCCTGCAGGAGAGCTCGCTCTCATGAATCGGGAAGAATTCAACTTTAAATAGTTTTTTCCAATCCCGTTTCAGAGGTTCCACATGGTGCCCGGGCATCAGGGCACATACTGGCGGTCCTGTGCTAGACCCTGAGAAACAGTTTATTCTGAAGACATTACAAAGAAATTCTCAAAGTTTCAGAAAATTTTGTGTTTTTTCTGGATTCGGGTTGTCAATAATTTATTTTTGCAATACAGAACTAAATTCACAACTACCCTAATTAAAAAGTTCAAAAAACTAAAAATTCATTATTAAGTGTATTATTTGTTACCTTGCACACCAACAGACACTGAAACTAGAACAGACACAAACACCAACAACCTAACAAAATAATCTTTAATTCACATTTAAAAACTTGCTTTATTTGAATCTTAAAGGATTAGTCGCAATATTTACATAATAAAGCTTTTCCCTCATATTGGCTGAAATTTGTTAATTAATTCCGAGGGCAACACCGGGCACTTCAACTAGTATATATATATATATATATATGTTACAATAGCTGGCCAAACAGATGGAGCGAATTGGCGGAAATTTTCACTTATTATACAAATTTAAAAATAACCGCGTTTCATGCAACAATAGAATAGCAGAACTTATTTTTCAATGGTGCGTCATGAAACTAACAAATACAAATGTTGCGCATCATTGCGCTAAATGCAACCACTTGTTTAAACAATAATTGTGAATCTGCATGGAACCCCAAGCTTCAATTAATAACGAATTAAAGGGAGTGTCTGGCTAGACATGGTAGGTGAGCTGAAAATGCAGTATTGTGAGAAATCTTTTAGGACGTTTTACGGTGCACGTTTTCTCAGCAAGGGCGCAAATTCAATCTTTAAAATCCTTTTAGATTGTCCACTTTGGTTGTTGAGAAAATAAAAATTAACTCTTTTCATCAAAAATAAGTAATCTTATCCAGTTGTTGGTTTCTGTAATTGAATTAAGAATGTAGTATTGTGGAGAACTTTCAAATCTTCACAGATTGTTACTTTTGAAGGGATGATTTTGAGAATCGGTTTTTAAAAAATTACTCAATGACGAACACGAAAAATGTAACAAAATTCTGTTTCTGTAGTGTCTCATTATCATGTGTCTCGACTACTAACACATCCTTTAAGTTTGGTCAAGATTGGAATAATATAAGTATTCAGGAGGTCAATCTTACTAAATTATGACAAACAATCGCAAAACCATCATACAAATAAATTTAAAGCCGGACTATATAATTAAAATAACAAAAACTTTGTGTTAAGAGAAAAAAATAAAATTAGGAAAATTTGATCGTTAAAAACACTGACCAGCCATGTCACCATCTTTTACCCTACACATTAAAAAATTGTTAAAACTAAATAATGAAGTTTAAAATTTAAAAGTTTGAGCGCGCTAGTGCCAGCAGTTTTTAAGCTGTGGAGAATAAATACGTGTGAAAGTTTGACCTGCATATTCACGATTTGAAATTGTACTCTTGAAAATTGAAAATTAGACCAAAAAAGATGTTACAAGAATCTTTACCGAGTAAAAAACTCGCGAACGAAATTTGCACGAAAAATACGAAAATTTAGCTAACATTGATCAAATAATCATGAAACATCCTAGGTCGTGCAATTTATTCTAGATTTGATATGGAATTAGGTTAAATTTAAACTTTTGATGACACTTTCAAGATTTCAGATAATTCGTTTGTTTTATCCTGCAACTAACCAAAACAATAGTTTCTACACTTCTATTTTTAATTCCTTATTTTGGCATTATGTAAGAAAAAGAATATTAAGAATAAGAAATCTTTTAACAAAGCAAAATTTTGATCCAGAGAGATAGTTAAAAAAGAGTCAAACAGCGTGCACATTTAAATCGCTATTTGGTCATAAGCTCATTTGACAAAGTTTTGATCTGCAGCTTCGAAAGTTAGTTTTGTTGAAGAACAAATTAAAATAGAATAGCAGAAAGACGACATTCGTTATCATCTTTATCTGATTATACACATGATCACACACAAAAATAAATACAGAATGTATTCAATCTTAACTTTTCATAGTTTTCTATAGCTTTTTTTCCCCCAAATTATTCAGGTTTCCAATATGAAAGCAAGTTAAAAAAGGAAGGCAAGTTTAAAACCAATTAAAGGCTCACTTACAGCATTAACTATTTAATAATCTGTTACAATTTATTTTTTATAAAAGTTACAGGATAAAATGATAAATACATAGATGCTCAGAACACAATATCCGTGTAGATCTTCGAGTAACTGAAAATAGATTCAAATTAAAATCTTCAAATGGTTGTTTAAAGATATCATGTAGTGTAAATCTTAAACGCTTCATTTCGATATTCTATGTTCTTGAAGTCTAATCCATGACGATATATCTTGAAGTCTAATCCATGACGATATCTTGAAGTCTAATCCATGACGATATATCTTGAAGTCTAATCCATGACGATATATCTTGAAGTCTAATCCATGACGATATATCTTGAAGTCTAATCCATGACGATATATCTTGANTTTTGCAAAATTTTAAATAACCTGATTTTTAATCAAGAAAAACTAAAAATGTGCAAATTTCCTTTGACAGGTTGTTTAAAACATATTTGAATTTTTTTTTCGCAAAACTTGTGCAATTAGTTTCCTTCTGTCAAAGGCTTTCCAAAAAGCTAAATTTTATCAAAATCTGACAAGTGGAAGTGGGTCAAGACAAAGGTTTAGTTTGCTACAGGAAAAAGCGGTCATTCAGGCAGTGTGTCTGAGAACTCAGGCAGTTAGTATTAAAATAGCCCGGTTTTAGGCCTAAAGGGAGGGCTTTGGGTATGTAAGAAAAGTCAGAAAATTTCAACAGCCTCAGACCAATACTTTTTGAGTTATGTAAAAAACTACAGGGGGGGGTTCAAATTGCCCCCCTCCACCAGGAATATGGTTTACAAGTCAGGAAACCAGTGGTTGAGTTGTTACAAAAAAATTAGGGTAGGAAACGGAATTAGTACTTGAAAATACCTAGCGGTAGAAACCAAAACAATTGTAAAAAAAGAAACAAACATAACGATCTTTGAATGAATGGTCACTTGAAACAAAAAAAAATATAAGTGGACATTAAGAAGTGACGTTCCTACCTTGATAAAATGCGGAAGTGGAGAGTCAAGTTGTGGGATGGCGCTGATAATAATGTACAATCCGTTCGGAGATTTTTTCTCACTTAACAAATTGTATTTAGCCACGGAATCTTTAGAATAGGAGCACCTTAAAATGCAGGGGATTACGGACTAATAAGGGGGGGGGGAGTCAGCAGGGGAATTATCCGGACTAATAGGAGGAGGGGGGGTCAGAAGCATAAAGCATTAATTTCCATTCCAATAAAAATATGAGATTTCCGGAAAGGGAATGACTAGTTCTAGAATAGATCATTGATGCGTATTAAACACAAGTTTACTGCTTGAAAATAGTGATAACCCAGAAAACTCTAGAATAGGAAATACACTTTTAAATTCGAGTCACGGCTTTAAATAGTCTAATGAGTATTAAAACAGTAATTATTCAGTGCAAACAGGCACATTTCTTTTAACAAGCGATTTAATAACTCAGTAGTATAGAACTTTACTTTGTAACATCAAATGCACAATTTGCTTTGCAACATCAAATGCACAATTTGCTTTGCAACATCTAATGCACAATTTGCTTTGCAACATCAAATGCACAATTTGCTTTGCAACATCAAATGCACAATTTGCTTCGTAACATCAAATGCACAATTTGCTTCGTAACATCAAATGCACAATTTGCTTCGTAACATCAAATGCACAATTTGCTTTGAGTAACATCAAATGCACAATTTGCTTCGTAACATCAAATGCAGAATTTGCTTTGCAACATCAAATGCACAATTTGCTTCGTAACATCAAATGCACAATTCGCTTTGAAACATCAAATGCACAATTTGCTTTGCAACATCAAATCCCCAATTTGCTTCGTAAAATCAAATGCGCAATTTGCTTTGTAATATCAAATGCACAATTTGCTTTGCAACATAAAATGCACAATTTGCTTTGTCGAAACTTCAGTACTGCTTTAATGTTGATTTTCCTATTCCAGTTATTATGTTATCAAGAGTCAAAACAAACTGAATAATATCTGATCTTGGAAGAAACTTTTCTTACCAATTATTCCTGCAGGAGAGCTCGCTCTCATGAATCGGGAAGAATTCAACTTTAAATAGTTTTTTCCAATCCCGTTTCAGAGGTTCCACATGGTGCCCGGGCATCAGGGCACATACTGGCGGTCCTGTGCTAGACCCTGAGAAAACAGTTTATTCTGAAGACATTAAAAAGAAATTCTCAAAGTTTCATCAAAATTGTATTTTTTTCAGGGTTCAGGTTGTAAATAATTTATTTATGCAATTCAGTTCTAAATTCACAACTACCTTAATTAACAAAGTTGAAAAGACTATAAATTCCATTATTAAGTGTATTATTTGTTACCTTGCACACCAACAGACACTGAAACTAAGACAGACACAAACACCAACAACCTAACAAAAATAATCTTTAATTCACATTCAAAAATTTGCTTTATTTGAATCTGAATCAAACTAAAGGTTAGTCGCAATATTTACAGAAAACTTTTCCCTCATATTGGCTGAAATTTGTTAAAAACCTAAAGCCTGCCCTGCGAGCAAAAAAAAATAGATTTTAATTAAATTGTTTTTATTCCAAATATTTCAAATACAAGACCGGTCAGCAATTTATATTTCAAATACAAGACCGGTCAGCAATTTATGTTTCAAATACAGACCGGTCAGCAATTTATGGTTCAAATACAAGACCGTTCAGCAATTTATATTTCAAATACAAGACCGTTCAATAATTTATATTTAAAATACAAGACCGGTCAACAATTTATATTTTAAATACAAGACCAGTCAGCAATTTATATTTTAAATACAAGACCGGTCAGCAATTTATATTTCAAATACAAGACCAGTCAGCACCGGTCAGCAATTTGTATTTCAAATACAAGACCGGTCAGCAATTTGTATTTCAAATACAAGACCGGTCAGCAATTTATATTTCAAATACAAGACCGTTCAGCAATTTATATTTCAAATAAAGACCGTTCAGCAATTTATATTTCAAATACAAGACCGGTCAACAATCTATATTTCAAATACAAGACCGGTCATCAATCTATATTTCAAATACAAGAGCGGTCAGCAATTTATATTTCAAAACAGTTTTATTTTAAAGTTCTTGGCAAAAGTGAAAGATGACCTCCATTTATAAAGTGGTATGTCCGATTCAAGACGGTACCCTATCAACCTTTTTATTAGAAGGATGAATGAAATATCCTACTTTTTCTTGTGGAAAATTAAATTTTTATCAATAGTGTTGTGCAGGCATGCTTCTGATAGAAGTACCTTTTGGATTTTTGCTGCAGATACACAAAGGTATCCTTGTGAATCGGACGTCACATGACACTATTACGTCTACAGATAGAATCTATGTAAGAAAGTCAAAGGAATCAAGTTTCTGGAAAAAAAACCTGGAAATAAAAACTTTGGTAAAAACGTCCCAATTTTCTGAAGTCCTAGGACAAAATGTCACTGGAAATAATAAATAAGTTTTAGATTCCTGGGACTTTTTTCTAAAATAGTATGGGGGCGCCAATAAAGTCTCAAGAAACAAGATCACAGGAATTAAAGTCCTGAAGAAAATATATCTGAAGAAAAAAACAAGAAAAAAGTCCAAAGTCTTGTGAAAATGAGGCCAAGTCTGAGACGTTTTCATAAAAGAGACATTTTATGCATCTTCATATTGAATATAGCTAGGGATGTTTTAAATATCAATCGCCCCTGTTTTTGCATGGTTGTAAACATTCTTTGTTCCCATGCATTTTTTACTATGATAGAACTTTTTTTCGAGAGACGTTTTTGTATAAATCATACTGGACTGGAACCAGAAAAAAAGTCTTTAATATCTATTACAGTATAGGTAAAAAGACATATCAGATTATTTACCGACTGTCATGTTTCGTTGGATACCCTGTATGTATATCTTCATATGCGAAAGAACAATAAACCAGAGGCCGAATTTAAAGAATTTTAGCCGCGGCTTAAATCCGCCAAAACCCGGGTTAAATTAAGCACCGGCTTAAATCTCGTAACATTTGATACAATTTTAAGTGGAACCAACCATATTTAAACCACGGTTTAAATTTAAACCGCCGCTCAAATTCTTTAAAGTCGGCCTCAGTTCGATCAGAAAATCTTACCTCAGGACAAATATGTTTCAAAGAAGGTTTAATTTGGTTGGTCCGAGGGAACTGCTATAGTAAAGAACTGTTCAGACATGGCATAAAAACAAAACGAGCGGTAGAAGGCACACCAAACCATTTTTTCGTCCGCATCAAAAATGACGTCACAACACAACTCTTCCGACCACCAATATGATTTAATTGTATCTAAAATTTATTTTGTTTAAAAAATTGAAACGCAGCAAACGGGTTGTAAAAATATTCAACAACACACGATAAATAGGATCGTTAAGGTTGAAAAATAAGGAAATCACAAAATTTTCCCTAGTTTTTCAGTTCCAATTTGGCTATTTTTCATTATTTTGTAAAACGAGCGTTCTGTTTAGTATAGCTTGGATAGACGGATCTTTTGATGCCCATATCGACATATTTTGAGAAGAAAAGAAAAAAACTCTTACTAACGTTTTTTTTACACCAAGGCCATTTGCGATGGTCAATATTGATTTTAGAATTTTAGAATTATAAGATACATTAAGAATTACTACATGAAATTGATTCCTCTCAAAATTGTGAAAAATCTTTCACCCTTTATGTGCAATGTCCATTGGTCATGTACTCCTGTTGTACACAATGGAACCTGGTGTGGAAAATATAGCATATTCTAGCTTTTAATAGATCTCTGTACTCTCTTATCTCTGCTTGTATGGCAACATTTAGCTTTGCATATTAGATCAATAAGTACTAACTAAATAAAAACATGTTTTTATTATTATTATTATTATGTATTATTATTCAAATCATTTTTTGTACAAAATTTTGCAAAACTTTTTATACATACATAACTTAACCCCCTTCTGTTGTTGGAATCATGGGTGGGTAATGTTAGTGGAAAGGCTGTAAAATAATTAATTTGCGAAGCATTTAGATTAGAAAGAAAAAAATACAAAAACGCTGTATACATGATCCAGAGTGCTAGTAAAATTGTATCACTTTTCAAGACTATAGGTCCACTTTGACGTTTCCCTTGGCCTTTGATTTTAACTTATGCAAACTCACATATAAAGTGATACACCCTTATTCCTAGACATGTAAACATACATTTTAGATCTTAAAACCCTTTGCTTTTAGCTTTAGTTTTAAAAAGTTATCAACATTTTCATAGGTTCTGCGTGAGAGCTTGCAACTTTTGGAACTATGTGATTTAAAACGTGGCCCGACACTATTAGTTGCGCCATGGAGGAAGGAGATTAGCAGGGATAGCAGTTGCTCCTAACTTGAAAGCATGTAAAGAAGAAAACACTAGTCCAGTATCAATCCAGGTCATTGTCTTCATGTCAAGCTTTTCAACCTGAATATATTATTGTTACATTTAAAAGTGGTATGAAATCAAGGAAATCTAAAGCCTTAAACTTGATGTGATTAAATCTACAGAGTATAGGAAGAAATTTATTTACAAGTAAAAAATTAACAAATAAAATGATACTAATGATCCATGGAAAGCCGGAGCTCTTTGACGGATTTTCCCCCTTCCATTCGTCTCGGATAACGATTTACTCGATTCCGTCTCAAAACTCTTTCGTTTCGGTTTTAGCCCAGGTCATATGCTCTTTCCTCCTGCCTCGTTTCAAGCCGTGTCTATACTGCCTATCGGATAAATTTACAATAAAATTCCCGGTTTCAATGGCAGCTTGCTTTTCCACGCGTTCAAAACCATGCATCCAATTCATGTACTCTGGGTTGGCGTTTCTTAACTGTTAAATCTTATCGTCCCCACCTTTTGTCTGTTCTATAACTATATATATAAGAGCTAATACGTTGTCTTGTTTATAGGGAGTACTACTTGCAATCCAAGCTTAGCTCCGGGTCTGTATGAGAACTGAAGGGGTTAAATCAATAGAACTATCCACTCTGAGTTTAGCTCCTGGTTCCTGTGAGAACTGAATAGGTTACATCAATGGAACTATCCTTATTCTGAGCTATTGAACTCACACTGGTTACATCTTAGCTTCGGGTCCGTATGAGAACTAAAGGGGTTACATTTTATGCCTTAAAACAGAAAAATGGGTTGTGCTCACCACACAATTGCAGTATATGATGTTCACCGGAGTTTTTGCAATCAAAACGTGAGTATAAATATCGTCTTGCTATATAACAGCTTTTGGAAATTACTTTATTATTTAAAGAAAATTATTCATAAAACACCAATTCGACCGATAATATTATGTTATCTGTTGTAATTTCTGGGCTTTTAGCCGATGCAATCTTTCCCGCAAATTTGCTTGCGAATTCCGCGAACTTTTGCCCAGAATTCTGTATTTTTTTCGCGAAACTCATTCTGCGCAAGTTCCGTATTCTTTTGCGAAACATATTTAGCGGAATTTCGCGCAAAATGCGGAATTTGACGATTTTTCCACTCCGCTGGCAAACCCTAATTTTAACACTGTTAATCTTTATAAACAAACAAATTAATTTTTAAATAAAAACAAAAACAGACCTTTCCAGAAGGGTTGGTTTGACCACCGATTACAAATACACCATCAGAAGTCGTCACAACAGCATTTGACAATCTAAAAATAAAACTGAGTTTTTAAGTTGGTTTGATTGTTGAACGCCTTGTTAAGCGCAGGTGAATTTAGAAAAAATTATATTCTAAAGGATTTTTTATTTTTCTATTATTTTTTTCGAAAAGATTTCCGCTTCATGTGAAAGCCAAAAGCGAAAGGGTTAAACCCGGAGAAATGTTTGCACCATTATTTTTGAAAGTGTCCCAGAAAATAGAATTTTGGCAGTTAAACCCAGGGATACTAAGGACTTAGGTGTCTCAATTATTTGTCTAATTTTAAACAATTCTCAGTTTTTCAATTTTTAAACAAATAAGTCAATAACTCACGAAAAATTATTATTATTATGATTGTTATTTTCATTATTTTTATTATGATTGTTTAATCATTATAATTATTATTATCATTATTATCACTATTATCATTATGATTGTTATTTTCATTATTATTATTATGATTGTTATTTTTATTATCATTATTTTGTTTTTTTGTTATTATATATAATTGTAGTATTCTCTTACTACTAAAAATGTGCAATAAATTGGCAAACTTAAATTAGCAAACTTTGATAAGATCACACTTCAAGTTGTTCTACTTGTATAAGATCTTTGCAACCTGACAACATTGCAGATCGGGTTATTTCCATCACTCGGACCTAACCCTCATGCAATGTTGTTATCTTTGCAACCTGGCAATATTATACTTCGGGCTATCTCTATCATGCAGAGTAAACCTTTATATAATTATTTGCTCGTGCAATAATTAACACCCAAAGTAATAAACATGTTTTCTACAATGTCAATACATTTATTTACATAATCATGAATGCATACATCATATTAGCTAGATAAAGATAATCTGATGACATAATTGTCAGCCATGATCCCTTTTACTGATAAGGTTTCCTAGCTTGACCATTGAGCACCTTCTCAGTTAATCTACCAAGTCTAAAGTGCATGACTGATATAGCTTTCAGTCCGTCAATCAGTTCTAAATTCTTATTATTCCAGGTCTGCTGATTGATCCGCTCCTGCATGATCCGGAGCAGATCCAACACCTGGGTGGCCAGCCTGTCACTGATCTCTTTCCTATTAGAGTCAGGATACAGTCTGTATTACTGCTCCCAAGCCTTCCCTGTGTCTCAAACCTCAACATGGGGGACAACAGCAGGCTGATGGGAGCTAGAGTCCCCAGGAGTAGGGGACAGGAGATCCATAACCTCCTTTTGGAGTTCCTTGACTTCCTTATCAAGTTTCTCCAGCTTCTCTAGGAAGTCCTGCATATCCTCATCATTATCACTATCCTCTACAACATCCTCAGCTACATTATCATCCTCCGAGGCTGGGACAGTGATAATGGGAGTGTTCCCACTGATAAGAGGAGTAAGGTCAGCTGGATCAATTTCATCTTCATCCAGCTCAACTTCTTCAATGTAGGCGGGGTCTCGCACAATAACAGAAACCCGGTTCATCTTCTCCTGATTTAGCTCGTCCAGAAAGGTTCCCTCTGTATTCTATATGTTCGCTGTATGTTGTACAGGCCCTAGAACGGTAGTGGCAGACGGACGTGTATAGTTACGTGTCTACTCTTCTAAGGTTCGGGCTGTACTGATCCCTGGTATCCAGTTGTATTCAAGGGACTGTTTACTCTTATTAAGAACAATCTGAGATACAACATAATAAAACTCTTCACTCAATATATATTTGTATATTTGTTTATATATAAATAAATGTGTAACCTATAGCTAGCCAAACGGATGAACCAAATTAGTTGAAATTTTTTGAGGGAACTCAAAATTGAGTATCCCAAGGGTAACAAAAACTAGAAAAATCGATTTTTTTCCCACGGGTAACGCCGGGCACCGCGGGGCACTTCAGATTGTTTTTATTATTATTAAAAAGTTACGAAGACAAAAACCCACCTTGGATAGGTTAAGTTCCCTATCATGGTCCAATGTCCAACAGATGGTTTAAATATTTCAGCAGATTCTAAAAATAAATCTGTTGTCTATTCATTATCAAATATTCTTCTTTGGAGCAAAAAATTGCGGTTAAAAGAGCAGTTTTAATTGAAAAATTAAAAAATTTAATTTTTTATGAATCCGGGAAGAAATTATCATCATTGAAGTATTATATGAGACCCCCTTTCATTGGAGACCCAAGCTTTTCAAAATAGACCCCAATCATTTGAGACCCAACCTTTTTATTGGAGACATCCAGTAAACCCCAGCTTTTCATTTAAGAAAACTTGCTTTCCAATACAATGTTGGGGTCTCCTCTAAAAACCTGGAGGTGTGTCCTCTAAAAATCTGGAGGTCTCCAATGAAAATCAGGGGGTTACCGATGACAATATGCAGGTCTCCAATGAAAATCTGGGATTTCCAATGAAATGCACCCAAAGATTAATATAAAAGAAAAGGAAAAAACATTGATTTTGAACAATTCCAGAAAGTCTATTGTGAGTTGATAATGCCACTCTTCTGTCTTAAGCTAACCTAATAATGACTTTAAAAAATGGTTACTTGTAGCATTTTCATTATTTCCTCCAGCCACAATAAACACCACCTCGTCGTCCTCATCCTACAAGTTAACGAAATAACATAGATTCGTTCATGTATTTAAAAAAGGAAACATCTTTGGCTTTGACATTTAATTTGGAAAACATTGTCACTCATAGAGACGAGCATCGTTTTTGTGAACGAATTTTTTTTTCTAAACGTAAGAATTTTTTTCGCGAACAATGATGTCGTTTATAAAAATTAACAAACGACGGATGAACGAATTGGATCGTTGAGAGAGAAAAAAAAACTATTTTTTTTTCCTTAACGAAATATATATATATATATACTTTGACAAAACTAACTTTTCTATAGTTTCTGAAAATTACCATAAAAAAGGATTGACTTACCAGAAAAGAATCACAACCAAAGAATAAACGAGGAACATTGAGCTCTGGTCTCTTAGTATATACTCCTAGACATTTAAAAATGAAATTTTTTTTTCAAATCAGTATAATTATAAATTGTCCATCACAATGGAAAGACTTAATTAGATTCCCCCCTACTGCCTCCCCGCTCTTGAATAAGGTATCTGAAAAAGGATATTTTTTTGCATGGATACACCAGAATGAAATCAAACACAAAAAAGCTTGCAAAATGTGTCAAAATATTAAAGTATATAAACTTTTGGTTTTAACAAAATAAAATTTAAACTTGTTGTTTGGGTCTAATCTAATCTAAATAAATTACCTGTGATTATGTCGTATTCACTCACACTTCTGTTCAAAATATGTATGAACGACCTGTCTGTAAATCTAGAAGATATAATTATTACAAGACCTGTGATTATGTCGTATTCACTCACACTTCTGTTCAAAATATGTATGAACGACCTGTCTGTAAATCTAGAAGATATAATTATTTTTATTTCTTGTTATGAGCAAGGCAAGGCAAAATTTCAAGCTTTCCAAAAAAAAGGAAACCACGATTAGATATTTATGTACATTATTGCGTTGTATTGCTTGGTACAGTTTATCCAACATATGGGCCGGGGACGACTGTACGCGTAATTTCAAGTAACCCTCCATGCAACGATGGAAATGTCCGATTTTGAACCTTAATCTGGTCAAAAATGTGAAAGATCTTGTCGTTTTACTTCTGTGAGTTTCTCCATTGCTTCTTATAAACAAGAAATTCATACTTGATCAGACAAAGCTTTCATGGGTATCGTTGTAAATCGGTCATTGCCATCGTCACATAGCTCTATAGCATTCATCTTCAAATCATGTTGGTTATAATCCGCATGGACAACTTTCATTGATCTCTGGTTCTATACTTTTACATAAATTTATTAGAAATATGTATTTTATCCTATTTATGCGGAGGTATAAAGCAATAAATGATTATCAAAGTGTCCTTAACTGCTTGCTTGCAATAACAATATACATAAAAAAATGTAGTTCCAAAGGAATTGAGTCATTGCCACAAACTAAAATTTTCTATTTCCTTTATCTTTGTAATTTGATTTTGTAAACTTTAAATTATTTTAAACTTAAAGATCATTTGATCAAACATGGTCCATAGTTTGAAAAATTCAAGGTCTACGACATTGGGTTGCAAAGATATAAGAATTATAAAAACAGAATTTTGTGGCAAAGACTCAATTCCTTTACTCAATCAATGGTATTAATATAATAATGTAATACCTAACTGCACAACAGTAGTGCTCTACATGCACACTTAAATCATTTAATTGGGGAGTGAACATTCCAGATTGGGTTACAGTTTCATCTATATAATATAATATATTATTATTTGCTTTTAAACTTAACAATTTGTAAAATGAATTAATAATTCCTTTCTAAAATTGTAAGTTGGCATTTCAATATTCTAGATAATTTGTAGAATAGTATTTCTTGACACCCCATACCCACACGGGAGTGTGGGATTATTCAATGTGATTCTTATTATAGAGGAGAGGGATGCGCAGCTTCATGAAGTTATGTATATTTGCGCATTTAAATATAAATATGTTTTACACATCTTATAGGCCGGGTACAACGCTTGGTATATAGTAGATTATCACATTAATTAAGTGAAATGGGTCTGTTTACACTGCGCAATTGCTGTGCCTCACATTTTATTGGACAATTTAAAGTCATAATATCAGCCTTGAGTTGACTTCTTATTTCAGAGTTTTCTGATTGTTACTACTGTATGTAGTGAACTGTCCCAAGTAACAATTTTGCGGAAAATCCGCGGAAATTCCCAGGAATCTTTCACAGGAAAATCCGGTAAAAATGTTGACAGCTTTTCCCAGGAATTTCTCGTAACCCATTCCGAGGAATTTCTTGTAACCCATTCCGAGGAAATTCTCGTAACTCTATCCAAGGAATTTCTTGTAACCAATTCTAAGGAATTTCTTGTTACCAATTCTTCAGAAAAACCAGAGAAAATTTGTAGCAACAGTTTTGTTAAAACTCACCTCCCTCTTGAAGGTATTCTGCCTGAAGGATGGATTCTGGTGTAATCCCTCCTGATTAAAAATAGCTAAACTTACTTTAATAAAAATATGGGCAAGGCATTTTATTCTACATTTTCAGTGTGTGCTTTGTGTATATCTTAAAGAGAGGCTTTGAATGGCAGGGCTTTGGCGAGGCCTTCTGCTTGTGACAACTCGAGTGAGAGGCGTACACAGGGGGGGGGGGTATGGATTAGTAAAGCCTTTGGATGGATGCAATGGCAATTATTTTCCAAGGAATCAGTTTTGTCAATATCACTGGGGATTCATCCAATTTAAGTTTGTCTATAATTTCAATTATGAAGAAGAAGAAACAAGAAATTAACATTGAAAGATTGCAGAAATACCAGACAGCTGTTTTATACTGACAGTGAGAACCGGAAAACTATGGAATAGGAAGACGACTTTTAGACTCAATCTATAACTTTAGATACTCCAGTGAACCATTTCACTGAATAAGTGATTAAATAAGTCACAAGAAAAACTATTTGCTTTGTAACAGCATCAAATTCACATAATTATTGCTTTTATGTCGTCTTCCTTTTCCACAGTATTCTGGTTCTCACTGTAGTGAATACCTATTATGTAGTATCTGTCTTGCACTATGGCAGAACCACTTCCAATTCTCACAGCCTTCAACCTAGCCTAAAAAACTATTTTCCAACGAGGACAGCGCTCGACACGTCAAACTAAAGTAACTAAAGTAAACAAGGACAGCCCTCGACACGTCAAACTAAAGTAACTAAAGTAAACAAGGACAGTCCTCGACACGTCAAACTAAACTAAACAAGGAAAGTTCTCGACACGTCAAACTAAAGTAAACAAGGACAGTCCTCGACAGGTCAAACTAAAGTAAACGAGGACAGTCCTCGACACGTCAAACTAAAGTAAACAAGGACAGTCCTCAACACGTCAAACTAAAGTAAACAAGGACAGTCCTCGACACGTCAAACTAAAGTAAACAAGGACAGCCCTCGACACGTCAAACTAAAGTAAACAAGGACAGCCCTCGACACGTCAAACTAAAGTAAACAAGGACAGTCCTCGACACGTCAAACTAAAGTAAACAAGGACAGTCCTCGACACGTCAAACTGAAGTAAACAAGGACAGTCCTCGACACGTCAAACTAAAGTAACTAATGTAAACGAGGACAGTTCTCGACACGTCAAACTAAAGTAAACAAGGAAAGTCAACCAATCAGCTCCTCTTGTTAAATTGCTGTTAAAAATAACAAAATTGTTTAGAACTTCTAATATGTAAGTTTGTAAAATTGCTTAATTCTCATTCCTATAGATTAAATAAAACAAGAGGAGGTGCGAGGTAACAAAGTCAGACCAGTATGTCGAATATCTGGTCTAAAGTGTCTGTGGTAGAATACTGAAAACTTCACTATAAATCAGAAAACAATCAATTGCATAAAATGTTTACTGAGAAAGCTGTAAAGCATAGGATTTTCGTCTGCTAGAGTAAAGAACTTGTTTGTTTTATATTTTGATTGTTAAGGTTGCACGAAGTAAAATATTGAAATATAAACTTGTCCGTTCTTATTCCTCATCTTGAAAAGAGAATACACTTACAACATTGCAGCTTTGAATATTGTGACTTCTTAACAAATCCCATTTTGTATTCGTAACTCAATGCTCATGTTTATTTGAACGCCCTGTACAATCACTAAACCAACCTTTTAAGGCCAACTCATTAAAATAAATCATATTGGATTAATTAAAAAAAAATATTTGTTTTTGATATATATTTATTTCTGTGTTTCCTCTAATACCCTGTGAATTAAAAAAATGTTGCAAAATTTGTTCAAAGCTATGAATTTGAAAAATGAAGAAATTCAATTGCTCCAGTTTTAAGCTATTGAAAAAAACACTAGTGGGGGGTATTGGAAATCACCCCCCCCCCCTCCATCCCAGGTGATTTCTAATCCTTCTGGAAAAGTAAATTTGAGAAAAAAATAAAAGATTTTCAACCATTTTAGAAAAGTACAAAATCAACCTGTAGTTTTCTCCATCCTAAACAATGGCAAAATTCAATTATATCTAATTATAATTGTATTTCCGCCGACCAAACCCAAACTTTTTGATCCTTGAAGACAGATTAGCTTCAGTGTGGGATGATTTATTTCTCTATAAGGAAGTTTAGCGTAGATTTACATACAGTAACAATAAAAAGTTAAGTTCTGAAGCTGACAGTGGTATAGGCAATTATATGAATAATTGATTAAAGAAAAGCTTTTTTATATATAGCTTCTCTTGACTTCTATGTTTATGTGTATACATTCTATCTGAAAGCTTGATATATTCAAAATTAAATCGAAAGTCGTCTTCATTGTATTGATATATGCAATGACGAAATTTGACAATATATCGTGAACCTAAATGTAAACATATTCTCGTCTTGTCACATGACACTGCTACCGTAGAAATACAGCATTTACTCTTTATTATTCTTATAATCCAGAAGTTATATTGGGAAATATATATATTCTTCTAGAGGGATCATTTAGGTGACAGTATGTAGAGTTGGGACTTACATTTAAAAGGACCGTTCACTAATTTTCGTATTTTTAGGGTAAACTTAATTCTCTATTAGCTTTTCATTGGTATTAGGCTTAATTTCAAAGATAACTGTGTGAGGTGGAGAAAAGGCCGATTTATTATTCAGAATTCCTGTGACACTTTTTAAAGATACTTTTTGATCTTTTTTGTTATAGTCAGCTAGGTTAGTTTTGAACTTGTTCAAAAAACTTCAAAAAAGTTCAAAAATGCCAAACCTCTGTTAATGAAGCCACGAACTTAAAAAAACTTCTTCTTCGTTTTTGAATTTTAGAAAACTATTCATTTAAAAAAAAAATGTTATTTCTTCAGATAATTCCTCAGGAAGTAAAAAAAATTTAAATATCTCAGAAATAAAACTTATTGATCTTGTTGTTTCTCAAAATATTGATTTTGTTCCTGTGGCAAAGTTGTAAGCATAACAATCCCGAGGAGTGCCCCAACCCCCACCACATGATACAGTCTCTCCACTAAATAAAATAAGTAAAATATAGCTTTAAGATTCTCTCTTGAATAATTCATGTAAAAAAGTGCCATTTTTTAAATGGCAAACCCCAGACCTAGAGATGGGCATCGTTTATGTTAACGAACAAAATCTTTCTAAACCCAAGACCTAGAGACGTGCATCGTTTATGTTAGGGAACGAAATCTTTCTAAACCCCAGACCTAGAGACGGGCATCGTTTATGTTAACGAACAAAATCTTTCTAAACCCCAGACCTAGAGACGGGAATCGTTTATGTTCGGGAACAAAATCTTTCAAAACCCCAGACTTAGAGACGGGCATCGTTTATGTTAACGAACAAAATCTTTCTAAACCCCAGACCTAGAGACGGGCATCGTTTATGTTAGCGAACAAAATCTGTCTAAACCCCAAACCTAGAGACGGGCATCGTTTATGTTAACGAACAAAATCTGTCTAAACCCCAAACCTAGAGAAAGGCATCGTTTATGTTAACGAACAAAATCTTTCTAAACCCCAGACCTAGAGACGGGCATCGTTTATGTTAACGAACAAAATCTTTCAAAACCCCAGACATAGAGACGTGCATCGTTTATGTTAAGGAACAAAATCTTTCAAAACCCCAGACCTAGAGATGGGCATCGTTTATGTTAACGAACAAAATCTGTCTAAACCCCAGACCTAGAGACGGGCATCGTTTATGTTAACGAACAAGATCTTTCTAAACCCCAGACCTAGAGACGGGCATCGTTTATGTTAACGAACAAAATCTTTCAAAACCCCAGACATAGAGATGGGCATCGTTTATGTTAACGAACGAAATCTTTCTAAACGAACTAAATTGTGTAATTCGGAGAAATTAACAACCGATTAACAGACAAATCGAAAGAAAGCTGAACTTGCCCATCTCTCTGCAAGAAATGAGGATTTATTTCGGTTATGGTAGGTATCAAGACAAACAGGCTTCTTTTATGGTTACCTGAAATATTCAGTTACATGTTCTCTAAATGTTACACCCCCTTCTTTAATTAGAACTTGCCCATTGGGTCCGAATAGACTGAACTCTCCCCACTGCAATGAACAGTCATCATGAAAATAGCTCTCCATACAAACTCCAATAATCACTTTCAACCCATCTTTTTGGTTGCATTTTTTATTTTATTGACAATTCAATTTTTAAATATATTTTTTTGACAATGTTTAAAAAAAGAGCAGTGATTTTTTTTTCTCCGACTTTTGCATCTTCTTTTTATCTGATTATACATCTGTTACTGTTTCTGTTCCTCTTTTCTAGATCTAACATTCTAATCCCTTGTAGACAAAGCAGATATGCTTTTTGAAACATATTTCTGCATTTTGTTTCTCACTAATATTCCGTATATTTCCCATAGCTGCAGCTCTCTTTTTGGCAATTTTCTTTTTCATACTATTCTTTAATTTGATATCTTGGTTACATTTATAATTTCGTGAAAATCTCCCTTTTTTTACCTTAGGTTCGTAATTTCCTCCAACTATTGCCATTACGGTTGGCAAGCATTGAAACTCTTCTAGGGGTTTATTCCATTTGGTTTGGTTACAATACAATCCTAAACAATAAAAACCTAATTCAGAATCTTAAACATTGGAATTTGGAGACGACATGAAAATCGTCTTTAATTTCCTACAGTTAATAAAAGAAAAACAGTTCATTATTCAAAGATTTTCAAAGCTACTCAAACTGTGGCTGCCCTTTTTATATGTTCTAAATTGACGGATATATCAAACACTTTTGTTGTTATTGAATAATTTGGAATTTGGACAAATATGTCAATTTCTCCGTCAATTCTTATGCTAAAGAAATGGTGAAAAATGGTAAGCCACATTTTGGAATTTTGAGACTATTAGTAATTTATGTTAAATGATTTAATGAGGATACTATGTATAGCAATACTTCTGCTAACTTTTTAAATACTTAGGAACATATTTTTCATCGGAAATTTATCAGTAAATCAATGTTATTTTTTGTTTATTTTTCATCATTATATTGATTTTCTTATTCTTTATGAACATATTTCTTCAAATTCTTCAAATGTCGTCTTTTTATTAACACTTCCAGGAAATCTACAGAAAATGTTGGTTAACATTGAGACATTACAGAAACCAATAACTTAATAAGATTACTTATTTTTAATGATAAGATTTAATTTTTATTTTCTCGACCTATTCCTAAACACTAATTAGTTTACTGTAGAATTTTTTGTTACATTTTCGTGGTCGTCGTTGAATGATTTAAAAAAAACGGTTCTCAAAATTATCCTTCCAAATATGAGGATTTTAAAGGTTGAATTTGCGCTCTTGATGGACAAATATGGGCCGTAAAAACGTCTGATAGGTCTGTTATGAATCCTAAAAAATGTGCATTCATTCTACCTCTGAATGATTGCGCAACATATCCAGGATTACAGATCAGAAAACATTTCTCTAAAATAAAAAAGATTTAAAGATATAAAAATAGTTATTCTAAATTTTTATTACGCACTTAAAAAATGAACCCATTAAATCATTTAAAGAAAATCTTATGTTCTTTTAAGGGTAAAAAATATTTGTTTAGGGGCAAAATTATACAATGTTAGTTAATGTTGCGCAAAATTTTTTTATATGCATAAATCTTAGGGATCCTAAGCTTACAAGGTTAAAAAAATACTTTAAAATACACAATACTATAATACATTACAATATAATGCAATACTTGTCATTTCATTCTGTTTCTATGTGAAATATAAACTTTGTAAAACTTGATTCTTACCTTGCTTTATGTTTTTAATACAGCTAAATCGACCATTCTCGGGATCAGGTGGATAATCGCATCCTGAATAAATATTTCAGTTTAATTTTTCAAAAAAAAATTTCTGTTTACCAGTAAACAAAGAAAAGCAGTTAAATTCACAGTTTCTCTTTGTTTCCATGTTTATGTGTGTTTGTTTTGAATAAAATAATAAAATCAAAAGTCGTCTTCATTTTAATGATATACATACGACTGTAATATCTTATTTATTACAGTATTAGTATATATTATTAGTATTATTCGTATATAGTTAATATTTCATAATATTTTTTATTTTTTTAATAATTTTCGCTGGCGCTGGATTTTCGAACATTCCTGGAAAATATGAAAATGTCGTCTTCATTATCAAAAATCCTCGAAACAGGAATAAATGTTTTCAAAGTAACTCTCAGATCATGAAAAATACAAAATATTATGAAATATCAACTATTTACGAATGCGTTAAATAATCGATGACTATTGTTTGTAATATCTGAATGATTTGTTTGGAATTAAATTGATTTGTTTACGATCCGAGTTCAATGTTGCATCTTTCTGAATTTGTATGGACACTACGTTCTTCGGTATTAGTCGTTTTTAAAAATTTTCTCCTAATAGACGCAACAGATAGAAGTAAGATTGTTAGCGATCAAAAGCTCTTTTTTTATCTCATTAAGCCTATACCCCCATTCATTTTTCGCGAACACTCCCTTTAAACACACTTCAGTATTGCTTTATTGGCGTCTTCCTATATCCGTTGTTATCTGTGTGTCACTGTAGCTATAATTGTTATTTTACCTTTCTGTTTCCAAACAACTATTGTTGTGTTCTCCTCATCACTCTTGTCCAGAACACTAGAAAAATAGTGTTAGGTTTTTCAAATCGAATGAAAACTGCATGGTGGTGTACAAAGTACAAAAAAACTAGTTTGGCTTTCTGTATTGATGGAAATACAGACAAAACTTTATCAAAAATATGAATTATTTTAAACTGTCTAATTTGCAAGACAAAGATTTTTTTTAAAGTCATGTTAGATGAGATTTTAAGCTTCTTTGAGTGACTCTTAAGTAAAGCCAAAAATGGCCGCATTACACTCAACTAAAGTACATTTTAATCTGAGCTGAACCAACCAGTCCTAGTTTGTGCTGCCCCGCCTTTAGGTACACCAACTAAAGTAGGCAGGGCTAGATGGTACAACTATAGGTTGGTGTTGTCTGACTTAAGGCTAAATGTGCCCATTGGTAAATACATTAATCATGTATTGCAATTAACCCATTCAATGTACATAGATATATATAACTCCACCAAACCCATATTGTGATTGTCTAACTACGTTATATATTTAACAACGGGTAACTTGTTATTATGCTGTTAAAGACCCAATTCATATCTAACCTGAAGAAATATACCTTAGTTGATACAGAAACTCCGTACTGTTTACTGCAAGAGAGTAATCATTCCCTGTTTTGATAAACAGGTTGAGGATCGTCCCTCAACATCATTTGATTTAAAGTTATAATGGAAAATATCGTTTGTAAAGTGAAAGGAATAGAGTCTATGTGAAATGATCGTCAATTATGAAACCAGCCTATTTCATAATTTGGTTTTCTTTAAATATTAATTTTAGATTTTCTATAAAATGATGTTCCAGGGCCCAAAAGTTTATATACAGGGTGTCCCACGAAACATGACAGTATGCAGGACGACTTGAATGTCGTCTTGATTTTTGATATAATTTGCTGCGTTTATTTGTCAACCTAATTTTAGAAGTAAATTTCTAGAGATAATAATCACAAAATTTCCCTTGTCCTGCCATTTCCAAAATGTGGTCTGCCTTTTTTGTGCTTTCAATATTGCCCGAGATATGAAGAATTTCGTTCAGATTTCGACAATTTTGCTTTTATTTAACAAAATTGAAATCTAAACCAAACTCTTTATATATCAGGTAATATGGAAAGCACAAAAACGCAGACCACTTTTTGGAAATGCCAGGGCTAGGAGAATTATGTGATAGTTGTTTCAAGAATCATACATGTTAAAGTAGATAGAAGACTAAATGTCACAAATAAATTCAAATACCAAAGACGACTTTCAAGTCGTCTTCCTATTGTCATGTTTCGTGGGACACCCTGTAGCACAAAAAACTTTTTTTCTAGTAAATTCCACTCTGATAAATATTCTATAACTTTTCGATTACAATCACTTTATCTTGGAGCGAACTTTAATTTCTTCACAAATTTACCTGAAGATTCCCATTGCACAGGTTTGAGTTGTTTCGTTGAAAGAAAAGACACTGCATTCAGTTCCAATTCCAAATACTAAAAACAGGAATTTTTCATGACATTCCATAGAGGCCTACCCTCCCATGGAACAATAGTATTCACGTTGTTAAAAATACTGGAATCATAATTTCAAAGATGGCGATGCCCGATTTACAACGATGCCCTTAAAAGCATTGTTTGCTCAAGTATAAATCCATGTTTTTATTCCTTTAAACTGTTTATTTTCATTTGCGGGTTCTCTGCAAAAGTAACTTGCTTTTATAAGAAGGAATGTATAAATGTTCAGAATTAAGTCAGGAAAACGACGGATGTATCATTTCCACTTTTATTCAAATTTAGCTTTCAAGTAGCGGCACCGTTGTAAGTCTGGCAATGCCAATGCCATTTCTGCATGGAGGGTCATTTGAAATTACACTTACAATACCTGCAAGGAGGGGCAAAGTACAATAATAGCCCCTTTTGTAAATGTCCCAAATATCAATTATAATTATATTGATTTGAAAATGAAGAAAAAATAGGTTTTTTCTAATTTCTTGGACCTCTATTAACTGAACAATATCAGTTATGCCTGAACAACTATTTACATCCATAATATAACCCCCACAGTAGTTTAATAATTAAAGGATTCATAACTCTGATTGGATAATGAGATAGATAGAATGATAGATGTTACCGATACTATTTCTATTGGTTCAGAATAGACAACAAACACATGACTGAACCCTGATTGGATCAGGCGCGAATGGACTAGATTTACAGGAGTGATAAAATTACCATTGTTATGTAAACACTTCATACTGCATATCATTGCTGATGCCACGGCCTCTAAAAATGCAAACATTAATAGATTTACCATCAAACATTGGGCTGGGGCCACAGGTATGTCGCTGAATTATCTATACAGACAGTTCAAATTGGAATCACTGATTCAAAGTTAAGGATGAATTAAGGATTTAAGATTTGAACCGGACAGTAGGCAACTCAGGAACCTCTCCAGTTCTTTAAATTCGGAGATACGCCGCAAACAAAGAAATTGAGTCGTCATAAATCAGATTATTTAATCTTACAAAATGCAGATTATTTGATCTTACAAAATGCAGATTATTTGATCTTACAAAATGCATCTTACAAAACATAGGGTTGCGAAGATAGGGATTAAAAAATTAGAGTTTGTGGCAAAGACTCAATTCGTTTTAGAACCTTTAGAATTTAGATTAAGTGTTGCTGTGCTATGAATTTATAACAAATATTGCAAAAGTAAGGGAGCAACTAAACATGAAAATCATTTATGACTGGGGTTTCCAATCGGAATTCCATTGCGTGGAATTGTGCTTGAATTTCGCGGAATTGTAAGAAATTACGCGGAATTACAGGGCTCGGAATTGCCAGCAAGAAAATCCACTTGTGTTGAAAACCTTATTTATGACAAACATAACATGTGTCACAACTCACATCACATGTATCTATATCTATCTAATCTATTCTATAGTCTACACCAAATAGATTGACAACCTATTTGGTCTACACAAGTCTTCTATTTGAATTTAACAGACCTAGCTATGGCATCATGACAAAGTTACGAACCATTCCTGAACAGTTTTTTCCTCGTAACCTAAAAATTTCCAAAACCCTGTTCTGGAATTTCGGAACGTTTCGGAATAGTTAATTCCACAACGGAACGTTTCGGAATAGTTAATTCGACAACGGAACGTTTCGGAATAATTAATTCCACAACGGTTTTCAGAATAATATTCTGCAAATTTCTTAGTAAAATTCTTTTGGAAATTTCCGAAGTAAAATTTGACACATCTTAAACAGATGCTAAAGATCAAATGACCAAATGATCAAAATTGGTTTAAAAAAAAGTTAAAACTGTGTAACTTAAATCTACCTTGTTTATTAAGAATTACATGGTTTCCTGCGGGTATTTCAACTTTTACGAATGGAGCAGAATGTACAGCTTCAGCAACTTCCAGGATTCTAAGCAAAGAGAATAGAATATATATTAGAGAGGAATTTAGACAATCCCTCGGTATGAATTTTTTCAATCCCTTTCAGCATGAAAGGGAGTTCAAAGTGTACAAATCATGTAAATGTTCACAAATTATATGCAGTAGAGTACATTAATACAGTATGTTCCCTAGACTATCCATTTCAATTTCGATTTTTTAAAGCTGTTAAATAAACTTTATAAAATGAATTAGGTGAATAAAAAACATCATTTGATTTATACTTAATAACGGAAATTTGGAAAATCATCGTTTGTAAAGTGAAAGGCATAGAATCTATGTGAAATGATCATTGGTCAATTATTAAACCAGCCTATTTCATAATTTGGTTTTCTTTTAATATTAATTCTAGTTTTTCTATAAAATGATGTTCCAGGGCCCAAAAGGTTATATAGCACAGATATGTGAAGTACACTTGCAGTATGGAAACAGTACAACAAAATGGCCGTTTTACACTTTTTTCTAGTAAATTCCACTCTAATATATATTCTATTCTCTTCGTTTCTAAGTTAAAAAGCTCGCGCATAATTTTAAGTAACCAACCAAGCAAAGATGACAATGCTCGCGGTTCAGAACAGTTAGCCTGAAAACCTTTAACTTATCCTTAATCATAAAATGGAAGATAAGGTCGTTTATTTTGCTAGTGTTGAACGTGTTTTTTATTATAAATCCTTTAAGTTTTTCTGCGGTAGAAAAGCGCAAGCCAATAATAGAAACCACAATTTGAAAGTAAAAGTTTTCCATATTATATAAGCATTGATATTTAATTCATACTTGACCAGACAATACTTTAGAGGTACCTCTGTGAATCAGACATTGCTATCTTTGTTTTCCTTTCTTAAAGGAACTGTAAGCGTAATTTCCAGTGACCCTTCTTCATTCCCATCGATTAAAAAAAACAGATAGGACACTAGATGTCGTCTTTTTGAGATTTCTGTGCGTTTCGTTCACATTAACCTTGAGTTACACGTTCTATGCCGACCACACGTAACTCCTTTTGGCTTCTGCCTCAGAGTTATTTCAATTTTGCATGTGTCCTTTTTTTTGGGACATCCTGTAAAAATACGAATGCTTCATGGTAAGGCTGTTCTTTCTGTTAATTTTTCTAATCATTAACGGACGGATAAAAAAGATTGAAAGTGCATCCAGCACTATTTCTAACTATACCCTGCTGTGATGAGAAGTATAAGAAGAAGTGCAGACATGCTGGTGGTTCTACCAAACTTCAAGACTGACTGAAAGTAATTGGAAAACTCAAGGACAAAGAAATTATCCACAGTGAATATAATTTTTTGTTAGAAAGGACCAACATTTGCATGATTAACCCTATGACGATGGGAGGTGTTTTCCATCCCCTCACATAGTGGATTTTTAAAACTTATAAACATTATAAACATATAGATATGCTAAACTTCTTCACTTTTTCAACTTTAAAGCTATGAACAATTGTATCTTTTTTGCGTATGGGGATTGGTCAAACGACAGGTAGGTTTTTCAAAAAAAATAAAAATAAAAAAACATTTATTAAAATCTAAAATTTATTTCAAAAACCCTTGAAAAATAGATGTGATAACATGTGTCACATGTAAATATTTGTTAAAAGTAAAAATAAGTATTGTAAGTTTCAGTGGCGTAAATAAGGGGGGTTATTTACCCCCCC